CTCATTAGCTCACAAAAACTAAAATCAACCAATCTAATCTCCTATCTTTGAAGTCTATTTCTTTAAATGCGAAATCAATGTGTGAGAAATAAGCTGTTTGCAAGAGGAATTTTATTCTGCTTATAGTAGCTATAGAGGCAAAAATACTTTGGTTGAAATGAGAAAATACTTCTGCTATTTTATAAATCACTGAATGACTTAAAGACCTGTTGTCATAGCAACCTTTCAGACCACTCAGGTGGTCTTCTGGTTCTTATCATTGATCAATATTTTTGAAGTACATTTGTTTGATGCTTTTTGCTGTGTATTTCATTAATGTGAAAAAATTTAAACTGCCTCACTGCTGAAATGTTTGCCACAAATAAAATTTACTTACCTGCATCGTCCAGGTATGGGCCTCTGGTCTAATGTCTTCTCCCTGACCTTCTATTGTGACAATAAACATTTATTTTGAATATGAGGCAAAACTTCTGCAAAGAAATGAAAGAGGACTGGGTTTATTCCTGGCATTGTCTACCCAGCAAAGGGAAGGAAAACAGGCAGAGGCGGGTAGAGAACTGTACCCGAGAGTAGTTCTGTTTCAGCTTTGTTTTACACAAATAACAGTAAAAAGTAGTCAAATAGTCAATTATTGATAGAAAAATATGATTTAATATCTTAAAATCATGTCATCAAACAGCAACATGTTCAGCAAACAGACTTAAATAAAACAAAACTTCCACTCTGGATAAGACATTGAGGTAAAGAATTCTTAAACTCTGTTTGCTTTCCAACATTAAACTTCATGTTGGTATTCTCTATGTCAGACGAGAGGAATGTTCTCCACTGACAGTAGTGTTTACTTTATCTTATTGTTTTCAGAACAGACAGAAGAACAAAGCTGGTGTAAAAACAAAAGGTCTGTAGATGTGTCTGTGTCTCATTTGATTGTTTAGAATAAAGTCATATTTAGTAAACTGCAGTATACTTTTTAAGGAGGCTGGCTAATTGGATTAAAAATACCTTTTGAATGTCATACTGTACTCATGAAAACATTCTCCATTTGTTACGTGGGACATTGGCTAAATTTGACCGGATATGGTGTCCCCTCTTGGACATTCTAACCAGATTAGAGCTGAGAGACTGATCAATATTGATCTTTACTGTGTTTCAGTTATTCCAATATTTGTGTTGTGCTCTTTTCTCTTAATTCTGACCTTTCAAATAAATAGTTAATGCTTAATATAGTACTACTACAGTGTACATGTGTTGGTACATGGAGAGAGTGGGTGGGTTTATTTTTGTTGTCTCTTTTTGTTTTTTTGAGGTTCCAAAAATAAGAAAGAAAGAACACCATTGTACATTGGATGTAGATTTCATTTGGACATAGTTTTGGATAGAGTATTTGAGTTTTACTCAAGTAAGAGTTGCAGTCGCTCATAATGTTGCCAAAGTAAAAAGCATAGGGCAATAAAACTAATCCTAAAAGTTTTGCTACTGTTCTGGGAAAAAGGTATTTGACTATACAGTCCAGTTAAATAAATGAAATTAGATAAATAAAGCAGTCCATGGGTCTAAGGCGGGGCCCACCGTGGACAGGTTGCCAGTCTGCCGCAGGGCAACACAGAGACACACAACCACGCACACACACACTCACATCTACTATTTAGGTACCTGGGGAGAACCCACGCATGCACAGGGAGAACATACCAACTCCATGCAGAAAGACCCCGGGACAAGAATGGAACCTGGAACCTTATTGCTGCGAGGCAACAGCATTACCCACTGTTCCACCATGCAGCCCAATATCCAAAATATTAGCTTTTTAAACATAAAAATAGATAATAAATAAAAAAAATCCTTCATCAGCCAACAGTGCTAAAAAGCAACTAAGATATGTACAATAGTTAAAGCAGTTAAAGCAGTCCGAAAAACAGTTCAAAAATGGCCCCAGAGTCAAACTTTGGCCCCGTCTGCTCCATACGCTACAGATAAGCAGTAGCTCTGTTCTGTGTTTCCATCTCAGTGGTAGCCTTCAGAAGGTCCTGGATCAGGACTTGGTTCCGACCCGCTGACGACTCATGCAGGTCTTCTACGATTCATCACAAAAATTTGAACGCAGAAGACTCCATATAAGAAAATCACAGTAGAGATGGACACACCCAGAATCCCTCCGGCAATTTTCTCCTCTTTATCCCTCTCTCCTCTGTCCTCTTCTCCTCTGTCCTCGTCTCCTCTGTCCTTGTCTCCTCTGTCCTTGGGAGGTTCCGGCTCGCCTCCTGCCTCCTCAGGTTTTTCCTCACCTGCGGAGCAAAAACAGGTTCAGTGAATGCTTCTCTGACCTTTGACCCTCTGTGTTTGCTGTACCTGACACTGTGAGGAGGATGGAGCGTCTCCACTCAGAGGAGTCTCCTCCTGGGTTCCTGGTTTTCACTAGGCAGTCATACGTTCCTTCATCTTCTGCGCTGATGTTCTGTAGAACCATAGAGAAGTCTCCGTCCCTCATAGGAGATGGAGTCAGCTCCACCCGCCCTCTGAAGGCGGCATGCTGGTAGTGCTCATGGAAGCGGTTCTCTCTGTAGAAGAGCAGGTAGCCATCGGGGAGATCAGATCTCTTCCAAAAGAATACGATGATGGAGGCATCTTCAGGACCCGGACACGGTAGGGACACGTTCTGTCCTGGTCTCGCCTTCACCTCCTGTTGCTCTGATGGAAACAAAAAGGGATCACATCCAGCTTCCTGTCCATCCCAGCAGGAAGGAGGATCAGATCTAAAGCTGCAGTTTAACCTAAATTCTTCTCATTTTACTGTAAAACCAAACATTACGTGAGAAATAAGCTGGTATTCAGCTCCACCCAGAGCCCACAAACTGGTTCTGATAGCCCACCTTGTTCTGCAGAGATCCCACAGATGATAAAGAGGAAGAAGGTAGCAGCCTTCATAGTAGCAGAAGCAGTCAGAAACAGTCAGGAGGACCCGCCAGGATTGTTATTCTGGTTCTCCTCAGGACTCTTCAGTAACTGCGTCATTTTAGAGATAAAACTCTCTTTGGTTTGAGGAAGCTGCCGGCTCTCTAGCGATCCGCCCCTCAGTGGAATCAGGAAGTTCTAAACAAAAAATAGGGAGGAGCCTCAAACAGCAGAGCTGCTGGGTTAGAAGGTCCAGATAAAGACAGGTAAGAAAGGAGGTTCTAGTGAGGCGGTAACTGGGTTAAAGCTGAGCTAAACCTGCAGGGAGAACACAACAGAGAGAAAAGGAAAGTAAAAACTCAGAAATGGTAGAGGATTAAACATCCATGAGGCAAAAGAGGATGTTTGGGTATCAGAGATCTGATGCTTTCAAGGAAAGAACCCAAAGATCCAAACAGGCTCTTAGTTTTTCTGTATAAACACTAATAGAAAATAATCAGACGGTTTAAACTCTGCTAAAAGTAGCTCAATATGAAAGAAAATAAAAAAAGGACAAAGTAAAAAAAAACAACAAAAAAAAACTCTTGGACAGTCATTCCATCTGTTTCTGCTCTGAAGGGGAAATGGAAGAGGACCCAGCACTTACAGCCTTTTCTCTGGATGCTGGAGCATCGATCTGCTGTAGTTTCACCTTCATCTTCAGCTGCTTTTGTTTCTGAACATATTGCTGTTTCCTGCTAAGATTTCTGGTTAAAAGTTAAACATTAGGCCACAAAATCAGAAGAGAGCTAAACTGACTGAATGTAGAGCTACTGGAGGTAGAGCTAAATATCCAATAAAGAATGGTGTAAGAAATATAAAAACTTAGTCATGAATCACAAATATTAAAAAAATTAGAACAGAATTATGCAACAGCTTTAAAATAACGCACAAATTCTCATATTTGTGAAAACAGTTAAAAGAATCATCTTAAAGAGACAAACTCTGAACATCTGGGCTCCTGAGTGACATTTATTTACATTTCAGGACATTCTTTACTTGTTTGTAGATAAACTTTTCCCATTGTCTGCTGAAAATCGGCTGTTTTCATCCATGAGGGGAAAACATCAAATCATATTCATCATAAAAACATATGAATCAAATACTTAAATTTGCTTTATTTAGGTACATTGTGAAAGTTATTAGGATCTGAACACTTCTGACAGCCTCTTTTACTGAAATGTTAAAACATGGATGGAATCTGAGGGCGATTGTCTGTAGTTTGCTCCTTTAACCAGCAGGTGGCAGCAGTAGCTCTGCACAGAGCTCCAGTCTGGAACACACAGAGATATTTGGTCCCTCCTCAGTTTTCAAAAATAAAGCCAATAAGAAAATGGATGCATGGAACTCCATCCATGTAAACAGCATGAAAAGACAAAGAAATAAACATCTGCAGCCTACAGGCTCCTCCCACACACAGCAGGACAGCAACTATGCAACTATGTTTCTAAAAGGTTCATGCAATCATGTTATCAGTATAGTTCATATCATTTATAACTATTGCAGAGCAAAAACACATTTATTCATCATTTTAAAATATATTTATTTCATTACAGAACAACGGAACAGGAAGTTCCAACAGGATAAATCCACATAATCCATAATTTTGCTCTGATGTCTGCTGTTCAGTAGACGCTCACATTAATAGACAAACTAAAGACAAGCCTGAATGGACGACATCTGACGGGATGTTCTGCATCAACAGGAGAAAAAACTATTAAAAGACAACAAGTTAGAGACATTTAAATGATCTGATCCAATCCAGGACAGATAGTAGGTCTGCTGGGCTCTGAGGAGGTCTAGTTAACAGCTGGGCGGGTGCTCCTGCTGTGGTGGTGTCATGGTCGCCTTCAGTAAAGAGTAGATGACGTGTGTTTCTGGTTCTGATGAAGGTTCTGGAATAGAAACAGAATATAAATGGGTCAAACATGTCATGGCTTCCTGCTGAAGTGTTTTTTAGAGTGAGGATATGCTAGCTGAGGTGGATCTTCTGGTTCTTACCTCTCCTGCTGTTCTTCCTGATGCTGACTGACCCATACGTGACCTCACTTTGCCTCCTCATCGAAGGACAAACTGTACCTGAATCTGTTTCTGCAAAAGAAAACAGTTAGTCACTGAAGAAATGGGGTTTCCTGTGAAATCAGATCATATTTTGTCTGTTTGACACCTCAGCTGCTGCTGTTGAACAGCAAGGCATTAAGAAGTTACTGTCAGAAATAACACAGGAAACTAGAGGATCGGAAAGCTTCTGTCTGTTAGAAACATGAAAGTGTTTCACACACTGCATCAAGGTGTAAAAAGCTCAGAGAAATGTTTAAATATTGAATGCCAGACGTAGAAGTGTTGCTTCCAGTCAGATGATCCTTCTGAGGAGGCTCCATCTAAAGCTGTGGCGTACATTGTATGATATTTTCAATCATTGCACACAGCTACAGCTCACACTGTATGAGGAAATCATAGGATTTAAAAGTGAACAGCTCATAATGTTTGTTCCCACCCTGTGCGGCCTGATGCTCTGATGCAATCTACCTGCTTACACTGTACATCTAAAAATCACAGCTCCGCAGTGAGATGGCGCTACACGGACTCGTCTATCCAGAAGCCAAACAAGTAGCAGAGGAATATGAAGCTCACTAGAGTGAAACGAGCTGCCTTGGAAATGTGTGCAATTTTGTTCTGAAAGCCCTAAAAAGAAGAGGAGACGATGTATTTGGACAAAGACATGGCTGAGCAAACGTGGCTACTACGGTCTGTCAATTTTACAGACAGAACTGCATTTCATTCGCACCCTGCCATGCCTCTGGGCTTACATCTGAGAGGAAGAAGAAGGAGAAGAAGAGTCCTTGTTTGCGCACTCAACGATTTGCCCATGACCACCTTACGACAGTGGCGGCATTGGGTGGCCAACCCACTCGCCAGTGTAAATTGTAGTAGCATCAGTTTAGCATTTCATCGCATTATGCACAGCCAATGACGTAACTTTCGGAATCACACAATAAACTAAGATATGAGTATGTGTTTACTTAAGTATTTAAGATTTCTACCTGTAGGTTTACCACAGTAGTAGTTTCAAACCCTGAAATGATGGCTTTTAGTTTCAGTGTGCAAACACAAGATTTTTAGTGGCCCCATCTGCTCCCCCATGAAAGATTTCTGGAGGTGCACACTGCCTCACGACAGCCGACTGAATTTTACACATGTATGATTTCCTCCCGACCTAACGACTCCTGATCGGGAGGTGGTTGTGAGAGGCTGATCACACCTTGTTACCCCCTGTATACTACATGACGCACGATTAGGCTGAAAGTCGGCTCCATCGAATAAATTCTCACATGACTAGAGATTTGGACTGAAAAGACCAAGAAATTGTGCAGTGTATGCCCGGCTTAATACAAACAGCTCTACTACTCTTTGTTCTGAATGGTGCAGCTCAGCCAAACCCATCTCAGGATCTTATTCCTCCTCATTACCCATATCTCATATCCATAGGGGAGGGTTGGAAGATAGATACATAAGTCGTATTACTGCAGATAAAGCTCCAACCGTCCTTCAATCCCAGCCAAGAGAGGAGATGTTTGAACCTGAAGAACCTCCAAGGAACAGACCTCATGGTGCTTAAAAACTGATTGATCTGTCTAGATCCAAATGATGAGTACCATCCAAAGGCCCTATTACAACTTCACTGTTTTAGTATCTGGTTGAGGGATTTCTAAGGAACAAGAAGCCAGCTTAGTGCTCTGGTCTGTTTCCATAATGTGTTTATCTTCTCAGACCAAAAGTGTTTTCCCTGCCCAATTGAAATGCACCCTTACTCTGGGTTAAAATAAGATAGGTAATAAATAATCAATGACCAGCCCTAACTGGTCTGAATACCTATGCTGTATATACGGTTCAGCCTAGCTATCGGGGCTAGATCATCAAGTCCCGGTGAGCATACACATACATGACTGCGTTCAGCTTCTCGGCTCTAATGGTAAGCTATTCACTCCACCCTAGCCTCTCTCCTGCTTGTGCGTGGATCTTTTTCTGCTCGTTTGTGCCACTATGAGGATGCCAGAAAAAGTGATTACCTCATTTTGAGAAAGTCCTGCCTCATAAGACAGTAGTGTGTTCTTCCTTGCTGTGGCTAGGATGTTAGAAAAGCACCTTCAGGCTAATCACTGTTTTCTGCACAAGCAGAACTTTGACCTCATATCCAAACAACAAACGATGTGATCAATTGACAATTTGATAAACAGAGTGAACACAAAAAAGTAAATAAGTAACAATAAATCTCAACTGTTTAGAAATCTCTGTTCTTTCAAGCCTGGTTTTCACCAATATTTATAGTGAAGCTAACATTAGCTTAGCACATACCAAGTTCCAAATTTAACATTGCTTGTTGTAGTTCTAAAGCATATGTCTACAGCTGTTATAATGCAACCATGACTTGATTAAACTAAGTTATTTATTGATGACTTTGCCAAACCAGTTTCTAACTCTTTCGTAGAACAGATGTTAGCCGGAAGATACTTTGCTAACATTGCTAGCCACATTTAGGGATGATACAGTGGATTCTCAAGAAGCTGATTTTCCTTAAAAGTAGTAGATAATCACTGTATAGTTTGTGTATTTTTGTATCAAATAAAGTTCCTTTTTATGGGTATTTATTCCACGTGGGCCTTTGGCTTTTGACTTCTTAATGGACAAATCTCCCCCCTAGCCATAATACACTGACTCCACCCAGGTAGTTGTAAAACACACAATGGCTGTAAATGTACCTTTTAGGCAGTTTGGTGCTTCAGGAATGTCTGTTGTTTTTCTTTGTATTGATGAATAAATCGCCTCTGGGTCACTTTCTGCAAATGGAAGACAAATTAAGAGATTAAACACATATTCATACCTAAGTGGAAATTGAAAGACGCATTAAATGGACCACCATGTGTCACACAGATGGGCCCAGTCTAGGATCCTGATCTTGGACCTTTGGGCTAAGAGGGACCAACCTTAACCAAACATTCATCTTTGAGATCTCTGATTTGCTTTTTATTGGGTGCATAATTTGATAAATCATTCACAAACAGATGTTTTATTCCCAGTCTCATTATCAATAGAACATTACGAAACACCTTTCCATTCACAAGCATAAACATCATTATAGGATTAAGTTGTTAGTTTCTTACTGCAGTCCAGCTGAGAATTTTAGTGTGAACGGAATCTGTTTGATTGCTTCAAAAATAAAAGCAAGAGATGAGATGTTTGTTGGATATAACAATCTAACAAATCAGAAAGGCTCAGGTTATCCTGAGCTATCTCTATAGTTCTGCTGCTATAGGCTTAGACTG